GTTCAAGTAGAAAGTACAGGTATATGGGGTTCAAAATGATACGAAGTAGAAAGTACAGGTATGTTGGTTCAAAATGTAGAGAAGGAGAAAGTACAGGTATTGGGTTCAACATGTAAATGAAGTAGAAAGGTACAGGTATTTGGGTTCAAATGTCAAGAAGTAGAAAAGTACATGTGTATTTGAGGTCAAAATGTAAGAAAGTAAGAAAGTATCAGGTATTTGTGTTCCAACCATGTAAGAAGTAGAAAGTACAGGTATTTGTGTTCACAATGTAGAGAAGTAGAAAGTACAGGTATTGTGTTCAACATGTAAGAAGTAGAAAGTACAGGTATTTGTGTTCAACATGTAAGAAGTAGAAAGTACAGGTATTTGGGTTCAACATGTAAGAAGTAGAAAGTACAGGTATTTGGGTTCAACCATGTAAGAAGTAGAAAGTACAGGTATTTGGGTTCAACATGTAAGAAGTAGAAAGACAGGGTATTTGTGTTTCAACATGTAAGAAGTAGAAAGTACAGGTATTTGAGTTCAACATGTAAGAAGTAGAAAGTACAGGTATTTGGGTTCAACATGTAAGAAGTCAAAGTAAAAAAGTCGTCTCAGAGTAGAACAACAAGTTAAGTACAGTAACAAAGTATTTGTACTCCACTACTTCCCACCTCTGGTAGTATGCAAGGACATTCTAGTAATAGTGAGAAATATATACTTGTGTCAGAGTCGAACACAGGATGGAGGTATTTGAAAGAGGAAGAGGAGGATTGACCATCGTCGGAGGCCTTGAGGTTTGAGGAGGAGCTGAATTATTATTATTATTATTATTATTATTTATTTATTTGACAGGGACAGTGCACATTGATTGACATTTCTGTAAATGCGCCAGAGTTAGCCAACAGGCTATTTTTCATCTGTAGTCCCTGGACAGATGTTGAAAGTCATCCTAAGGGGAAGGCGGATGATGAGTGGAGATGACGCGATAAGCCATTGAAGTCGGAGTACTTGTGGAGTTTGACTGAGAAACACTGGATGTTGGAAGAGATGCATTGGTGGCTTGAACGGTACCTGTGCTCGTTTCATTTGGAGAAAAGCTGAATGTGGGATTTGAAAGAGTAACGTTGTCGCTGGAAGGAACAACAGTCGAACTGCTCTGAGGCGTTGGAGAAGTTAATGGCTCAGTAGTCATTTTTGCAAGGGTAGTAGCAGCTGATGCAAATGTAGGATGAAGTTCAGTTGAGTTTGAAGCGACAGTAATGCCACTAAGTGTGGGGGTGGCAGTTTGAGGCATTGCAGAAACTGTAGAAGTAACTAAAGGAGGATTGGTGGAAGTGCTTTCCTCAAAAACAGCTGTTTGAGTGGTTGCTGTGGCTGCAACGACGGAGGGGGTTGATGTAACAGGTGCAGCAGTTACAGGGGTTGACGTTGTTTGGGGCTTTGTAGTTTCTGGAAGTTTTGCCAGGGTCGGTGCGATGGTAGAAGATTGTTTGTTAGAAGATTGTTTGGTAGAAGATTGTTGGGTAGAGGTTGCAGCTACTCCTACTCCTACTCCTACTCCTACTCCTACTCCTACTCCTACTACTACTCCTACTCCTACTCCTACTCCTACTCCTACTCCTACTCCTACTACTACTCCTACTCCTACTCCTACTCCTACTCCTACTCCTACTCCTACTCCTACTCCTACTCCTACTACTACTCCTACTCCTACTCCTACTCCTACTCCTACTCCATCTCCTACTCCTTCTCCACCTTCTCCTTTTCCGTTTTCTTTGTTCTTTGTGGTTGTGGTTTTTGTAGTGGTAGTAGTTGTTGTAGTTTTGGTGGTTGCTGTGGGGACTGTGGTTGTTGTAGTTGTTGCAGTGGAAGTAGTTGTTGAAGCAGTTGTTCCTGTGGTTGGTGTAGGGACTTTGGTTGTAGCTGGAATTGTAGTTTGGGGTTGAGTTGTTGTAGAAGGAGTTGTGGTTGGTTGAGTTGTTGTGGTAGTTGATGCAACAGATGTTGTGGTAGGAGGGAGAGTGGCTGTAGTAGGAGTTTCTGTCGTTGTAGGTATAGTGGTGCTCAAAATGGTAACAGCAGTAGTTGAGTGGGGACTGGTTGTCATAGTAGTGGAGCTAGTTGTTGTGGTTGTAGGGGCAGATGTTGTACTCAGAGGCGTGGATGTGGCAGAATATGGTCTAGATGTGGTAGTGATAGGAGTAGATGTCGTTGTAACAGGGTCAGATGTGGGACTGATAGGCATAGATGTGGTAGAAAGAGGGGCAGATGTGGAAGTGAAAGAGCTTAATGATGTTGTAGGTGGGGGAGATGTGGTAGAAAGTGGGAAAGATGTGGTATAAAGAGTGCCAGATGTTGTACTGTAAGGGTAAATTGTGGTAGAAAGAGTGCCAGATGTTGTACTGTAAGGGTAAATTGTGGTAGAAAGAGTGCCAGGTGTTGTACTGTAAGGGTCAAATGTGGTAGAAAGAGTGCCAGACGTTGTAGAAAGAGTTCCAGATCTGGTAGAAAGAGTTCCATATGTGGGCCAGATGTAGTAGTGAGATCGGCAGATGTGGTATAAAGAGTGCCAGATGTTGTAGAAGGTGGACCAGATGTTGTACTGTAAAGGTCAGATGTGGTAGTGAAACGGGAAGTTGTAGTAGAAAGTGGAACAGATGAAGAAGTCAGTGGGCCAGATGTAGTAGTTAGATCGGCAGATGTTGTACTGTAAGGGTCAGAGGTGCTAGAAAGTAGGCCAGATGTGGTACTAAGAGGGCCAGATGTGGGACTACATGGAGAAGCAGCATTCAGTTATTATGCTCCAAATATCTGGAACAAACTACCAGAAACCTACTTTTAAATCCAGGCTGAAAACTTTTCTTTTTGACGCTGCTTTTATATATATTCATATCTTAAACTGCACTGTAACTTTTATTCATGTATTTTTTCTTTTAATGTTTATTTTTATTATCTTTGCTTTTGAATGAATATTTTTAAATACCATTTTCTGAATGTCTTTCATTTTTGTAAAGCACTTTGAATTGCCTTGTTGAAAGGTGCTATATAAATAAACTTGCCTTGCCTTGCCTTACTAAGAGGTCAAGTTTTGGAACTAGGGTTGCATTGGCATTCTTTGTTTCCATCATTTAGATCTTGGTAAAACTGAGTGACAGTTGTGTCGAGAGGACATTCTGTTCCAGGAAACACTTCAAATCCTGAGCTCACTTTGCTCAGTTCACTTTGGAGGTCTGCCAAGGTCTTGGTCTGCAGATCTGTTTCACCATCGATGTTTGGGCCCCAGTGGGCACTTGCTAGCCACCTTTTCTCACTCTTACTGTAGCAGCAGAACGCAGACCAGAGCATGGACGGGACATTAACCTTGTTTGAAATTATGTTGTTGCCTGGCTGGGCTCCAATGACCAAAAAGCCTTCTTTGATATCGTTGTTATTGATGCAATATTTGTCCAGAACACATTTGATGCATTTCTCCATTTTGTTCCAGCTTCCCTGGTTGAATTTATCATTCTGTGGAACAACGTTGGTGAGGGTGAAGGTAGACTTCTTATCATCTACTGTAGAGGCGTAAGAGCTTGGAAATAAATGCCCTCTGTCGAACCCTTGGTTGGTGTAGTCAGAATTACCAGCCTGGTTATTGTAGGTATTTCCTTTGCCATCCATCATCATGTTCTCATTGCCCTTAATGTCCTCAAGCTGTAACAATTAAAAGGCAAAGTTACTGAGGGCAGGGTGGTTGAGTTGAGGATTGGTTCCTCAAAGCAGTGTTTACGTTTCTTGGCCCAACAATGTTATAGTATAGTTGTGAATGATTAGATCAGCGGTTCCCAACCTTTTTCAACTCAGGGCCCACTTAAGAATCAAAAAGATGTTCGCGGCCCACATTCAACCATAAACAATACGGAGGCTAAATAAAGTTCTGATTGGTCAATTCAGAACATGTGACACGTTGTTAATCCAGTAGAACAGACCGCTTTCAAGGACTGTAATGACCGTTGCTAAGGAGGATCAAGAAAGAGAAATGAAAAGAGGTTAAAATAAAAATAAATCTTAATAATGAAATGTTTCCACACAAATCATAATGTTTTGAAAATTATTTGCTGGCAAATATTGAATTTACATTTACACCCTTTAATATTTAATTTGGGCTTTTAGATGAAGACACAAGACGCACACAGTTAATAAATATAACTATTCTTCTGGCTAAAATAAAAAGTCAATCAAGGAGTAATCTTAATTTAAAGTGGACCTATCATGCTATATTTGAATAATATAGTGTAGGACCATACGTATATAAGGCATATTTATACTTTTATTTTTTCAAAATACCAAACAGATCATGCATTTTAGCCATGCCTCATTTTGCTCAATTTGACATTTTTTAGCTCTGTATTTGCAAGGGCTGATTCTGTGAGAACAGCACCATCTACTGGCCTGGCATATGTACTACAGCGTCTCCAGCGCTTTCGAACGGCAATGGCCGTGGCTGTCTCCTCCTGATTGGTGGAGTTGGCCCAATAGCCGTAGTGCCACCGTCCTGACGTCAGGACAGTGTTCAAATCTGGATCAGTTTTTATCAGATCCGTTGCAGCCCCTTTTTTAGAGATTTGGGTATGGAGGAAAATAGAGAGGGTTGTGTTTTCTGACACTTGGTGAGTTCCCTGGAACACCGGGGACACATATTCATGTATAAAAGACGTACAAAAGTGCATTTTGCATGATAGGTCCCCTTTAAGGTGTTTGAAGAGTAGATTAAAAATACAATTTCTTTTGGAAAAAATGATTGCCACAAAAAATGAAAGGGTGGCTCAACGCGCCATGACATGGGAAATAATGAGCTCTAACGAAGAGTGGGATCAAAGGAACAATAAATATGCCATGTTGTGTTTTTGGTGGTTTTTGGTTGTCAACCTATTTTTGTTTGTGAAATGTTGAAGTGATCCTACCTATCTTTATTTCTTCTGTTTTTGTTTAGTTGTTGTCTGAGATGGGAATGTCATCTCCTATTATGTTATTGTTATGTCCAGGTTGGGAACCGCTGGATTAGATAGTACAACAAAAACATACCTGGGGTTCTGTTTTCCAACCTTCATTCTTAGGTCTTCCAATGCTGCTTGTCCCGATGTACTTGGAAGCAGAAAACACTGGGATCTTGTTTGTCGTGTCGTAGAGCGTCACATAACGTTTAATGTCAAGGTGAGTCTGGCAAATGGCTTTGTATCTGTTCTGGTCCAGGATGTTCCCTCCCTCTAGGATTCCTGGGACATTTGGTGGAGTTTCGTTAAGGACAAACCCTGCACATTCTGACATTGACTTCACCACTTCGGATCCAGTGGGAACGATGGATAGGAGGAGGAGGAGAGCAGCGAGGGGCGGGATGCTCCACATCTTCAGAAATGCCATCGCCAAACACTAGGGTCAAAAGACAGAACAAAACGAATGATGAAACATGACATGACTGTAGTTTCACAAGTGGACTGTTGCACTTCAACTTCTTAAAGAGGCCCTACAATGATTATTTGCCATACATTCTTTATCAGATTGGTACTGTTTGACTCAATCCAAGTTAGACTTCGACTACAAGCATGGGCGGTGCCAGAGATTTTCTGTTGGGGGTGCTGTGGGGTAGCTTGCCGCTTCATAGAGGTTGCTCAAACATGTAGGGTTTCCCATTAAGGTAGCTACTGTATATGGGCTACAGTGAAATGTTCTACTGCAACACTCCCCACACGCACATACAGGCTACACCCGCGGCTGTTACAATGAAGGCTCGATAATCAGCTCACGGCATATAGGAAGGATAAAGTGCTGTTTTTTATAAGTGGGGGGCGGACCTGCCTCCTAGGGCTGAAGTTAAAGTTAAATTATTGAAGTTAAAAGCATCAATCTGGTGCACTTTGAGAGCAAAATGAAGAGATGGATACATCTCTCAACACCCATATGAAACTGAACTGTAAACAGATTTTCTTTTTCTTTATGGATATTTTACTAATCACTCCCCTTTTAAACTGTATTATTATTTTACTGTCATATAGTAATTCATACCTGTTTTTCATTTATTCTCTTATTGTTTTATAACTATAGTGATCATATGAAGTGTGCCTCGGAAATACTTGTTTACATAAATGGTGATCAAACCGTTTTGAGACCCACTGAGATAACTTAGACTAAAGTTAACTATCTAAACACTGAGAGAGTCCTTTAGCTCAGGGGACCGGCAGATACATAAAAAAAAAAATCGCGGACCGGTTGTCAATTTTAACTGATTTTAATATTTACTCACCACCAGCAGGTAGCAACAGAGGCTAATTGTATGTAACAGCCTGAACAAATACTAGAACAATATGCATCCAAAACATATTAACAAAGTTTAAAAAAGAACCGGTGTTGTTTTTTTGGTTTTTCGGAAAACCAAAAAAACGACGTTATTCAGTTTTTAAACCAAAACGGGAAAACAGATAAATCAACGTTTTGGTTTTGTTTGTATGATTTACGGATAATCCAGTGAATGCTGGGAAAACGAGGAGAAGGCGCATTATGAAGGAGGTGTGTGTGTGTGTGTGTGTGTGTGTGTGTGTGTGTGTGTGTGTGTGTGTGTGTGTGTGTGTGTGTGTGTGTGTGTGTGTGTGTGTGTGTGTGTGTGTGTGTGTGTGTGTGTGTGTGTGTGTGTGACACACTGGCATTTGTTTTCAGAAGATATTATAATAGTGTTGTTCGTTCCGGTGCACTCCGACAGCATTTAGCACTAAATCGAGATTAAGATTAAACTAATTTATTTTGGGAACAGCTGCATATATGGAGTTAGCCATATGTGTGTAAATTACTGTTCATAAACATTTGAAAACAAATGCCGGTGTCGGACAGACACAAACACACCGAACACACAGAGCTGAGCTGAGCAGAACACATACTCACACACATCATGCGCCTTGGTGACTGACTGGACATCTCCTTCATAAAACTAATAAAAGGGGGAGTAATCGGGCAGTTCGATGTGTGTAGATGTGTGTGTGGTTAACACGTAGCAGCCTGCAGTCACTCTTAAGCTGTTCTGATGAAGTTAAACACAGCGAATGCGGTGCGTAAAAAGGCACAGCTCTTTACGCGCTGGTGCTGCACTTCTCAGAGGCGGAGTATACGTCCCGCTGCCTCCTGATGTTGCAGCCATTTCATGAAGTGAAGGAGGTTTTCCTTCTATAAAACAGCTGTGGGCAGCAGATACCGTGAGAGTCCCGGACATGAATTCATAGATCCAGGCAGACTGGTTTACTTTCCTGTTTTGCCAATCCGGTGCTTAAACAAATAGCTCTACACCCCTGGCCGACATGTCCAGACTTAAAATGAAGTCCGAGTTTGAAATATATCTCAAATAATGTATGCACCACCATTTCCCCACATAAACATAACAGTCTGCAATCAAACGGTTGTCTCTTGTGCGCTCCTCTCCCTACTTGGCACACCGGTAACATGCTCGTGCGCACAAGAGGCTGAGACCTTAGGCTGAGCCGCCGAATCCCTCGGAACATCATAAAAGCCATTTTCAACGGTTTTCTGGTGAAAGATGAACTAGCTACTGGATGAAATAATATGACTGGTGGCACAGGTGCGAAAATTAAACACTTTTTGAAAAATATATTATGATAAAATATTTTGATATATTTATAATTCTGCAAATATTACGATAAACTCACAGCTATTTCGCGGCCCGGCAGTAACACCGCCGCGGCCCGGTACCGGTCCGCGGACCGGGGGTTGGGAACCCCTGCTTTAGCTCACTGAGCTGACGTTATTTGACAGGAGAGGACTTTCCTTTTTAGTTGTAGAAACAGCTTCTAAAATCCGTTAGCGCAGCAACAACAATATCTCTCTCTCTCTCTCTCTCTCTCTCTCTCTCTCTCTCTCTCTCTCTCTCTCTCTCTCTCTCTCTCTCTCTCTCTCTCTCTCGTGCACTCGTGCCACACACACGGAGCCGAGCTTGAATGAAACACCCAGAAGTAGGCTACTTGTACTGTACTGTACAGTTGCTAGGCCAATTGTTGGTGTTGCTGTAGCAACTGCAAGCTACCGCCTGGCGCCGCCCCTGACCACAAGTACTATTACATTACATTTCATTTAGCTGACGCTTTTATCCAAAGCGACTTACAATTACCAATTACAGGGACATTCTCCCTGGAGTAACTAAGGGCTAAGTGCCTTACTCAAGGGCACACTAGTGGTACTTTTACCGTGTACTTTTTGAGTAATCCTCTGTCAAAATCCCCTCCTGAGTACAATAATGCATGTTTTCTGCTATCTTTGATGAGAGATAAAATGACAAATTATTGGTTTTGGCTAGACTAGTTTGACTGAAATGTTCAATATAATCTGATGACTAAAGAAATACTAAAATGTCAACAGTTAAGACTAAATAAAGACAAAATGAACACTGGTACTGTCTATAGTAGGTGAGTAGACCAAGCATTTTCCTGAGCTGACCAACTGTCTGTGGTCTGATGTCTTTCAGTTCTCTAACAGCTTCAAAAGCAGCTGGATCAACTCTGCTGCCCTCTGAAGAGACTATCCTGCCTAAATAACGGACCTCCTGCTTAAAAAGATCACACTTACTTGGCTTGAGTTTGATGCCATTCTCTCTGAGGCGCTGCAACACTCTTCAGGTGTCGTTGAAATGACTGTCAAAGTTTTTACTTAAGACTATAGTGTGTCGTCCAGATAGGGAATGCAAATGTTGTACCTGGTGATAAGCTTTCCCTTGGTCTAGGAGCGAGAACCAGGAATTACCATCTAAACTGTCCATGATGTCGTGGACACGAGGGATTGGCTGGTTGTCTGAATGAGTCTACTTGTTCAGGTCTCTGTAGTCTATACACAACCTCAGGGTGCCGTCTTTTTTTCTTACACACACGACAGATGAAGAATATGAAGAGGTTGACTTCCTGACCCAGCCCTGTGCGATTAGATCATGGATGTAGGTCTTCATCTCTTGATACAGTGGTCGTGGCACTGACGTGTATGTGCGTTTGACAGGTTCAGAGTCTTTGAGAGAGATGTTCATTTGCAATCTTTCAATACACCCAATATCATTGTCTGATGTTGAAAAGGAATGACGCTCTTCCCTTAGCATCTGTCTGACTACTTTTCTCTGCTCTTCATTCAGGTGACCTAAATCAACTGGTGGATCCCATTGCTCATGACCATTACATGGGGTTTGAATAGTGGTGTGATTCACTGTGACTGGTGTTGTAATCTTGGCAGTCAAACATCTGGGCAGGTAACACTGTCATAATAGTCTGTACTGAGTCAACTTATGTGTGCCCTGGCAAAACAATGTCATGGTCAGATGGGTTAGAAACATCAATGATGATGACTGGAAAAAACAGTTTCTTGACTTTGGCTAGTGTGTCAAATAACTCAAGTCCATCTGGCCACTGGGGGATGAGATTGGGCTGAAATAACATAGTCATGTCATCTTTAAAGGGCTTGGAAGCTACAAGACCATCAATCTGAATGCTGCTGTGCTTTGGTACTGCAATATTCTCTTTCTTAGTTTGTACTGCATACTCATCTGTCTGCTCTGCGCCAACAGCCTGTATAAAAGCCCCCACCTTGTTTCTTTTGAGACTTGGGAAGGCTTTCTTCACTGTACTGTACTGTTTAGTCTTTCAGTCTTTTCGAGGATGTGCTCAATAACATTGAAACCAATGATGGGACGGGACAGGTTGTATCCCTTCATGCCTTTCACTTTTTTCAAACCATTGCATTTGCTCTTGTGTTCATTCCAATGTTGTTTTTGACATGCTTTTGAACAGTATACAGTGTTTTTACAAGATTAACATTGTTGCAGCTTGTTTGAATCTTCAGTATCACAGTTTTCACATTTCTGAGACTTTTTGCTGTTTATGATTAACACTTGTCTCGCAGGGATAACCATTAACGGTTTAAAGGGGTCTCTCCGGTCGGACTCCTCTGATTTTACATCCAGCTTGAAAGTGTTCCCCATTTCCACATCAGAAACAGTGTGTGCAATGTTCATCTGCTCCTGTCTGCTGGCACACAAAACATCTCCTTGAAGCATAAGAAGAGCGGTTGGTGTACGGATGAGGTGCATACTGGGGCTGTCTTGGCGCAGGTGCTTGGGGCTGGCTGTAGTTGCCATGGTTACCATAATATTGCTGCTGGGAAACAGGTGGCTGGGGTCCCTATCTGGCCTCCTACCTGAGGGTTGGGAATAGAGCTGTGGCTGAAACATAGGTTGCTGCAATGTCTCTTTAATCTGAGCTATCTCTGCACAGAGACCTTTAAGAGAAGCAACACCGGCCTTAAGATCTGATAACTCTGTTAGTAGTTCAGGGGGTACGCTTGCTTTGACCTCCTTCACAGGATACTTTGCAGGTGGCTTATGTTCTGGCTGGACTTCACTAACACTAGCTGGCTGTGGGGCACTAAACCTTTTCTTGTTTTTTCTTTCTGTATCATTAGCACGGGCCATGTTTAGCGTCTCTAGCAAAAGCTCATCTGATGTGTCAGTGTAGCAGAAGGGGCTATGGCTATACATACATATACGATAGGGAGAGTTAGATTTACTGTCAACTTAAATGACCTTTCCCTAGTCCTAAAAATAACTTAAAAGATGCACAATACCTCATTAAACAGCGGGAACAGGTAATGTTTAACGGTATGCTGATTATGTTTACACACAGAGCAAAACACTGCACACAGAAAGAACTTGTACAAAATAATGTAAAGAGCAGAAAATCAACAAGAGATATTTTAACCTTTAAGATCACAGAAGGCACAATGCTCACTCGACAAAAGTCCAGCTTTAGGCACAAGCTATAAAGAGCGGAAGAGAGCATCAAACACCAAGATCAGAGTTCAAATGGACCTTTCTGCGTAGTTCCTGCTGAAGGCGCATGATAAAGCTATTGGAGATATCCAGATTGCTTCAAATTAACTCATTTTTTATAAAAACTTTCCACATCAGGGTCAAAGTTAAATTAAAGTTGTTCTATTTACAGGATTTCCTGAGGGTGGGTCTGCTTTCTTTCACAACAAAAAAGCCTCCCTTCTGCAGCAGTGTGTCTATCTGTAGGCTCATTTCTGTAGTGTGTATTACCATTTAAATCTACCAATGTACACTAGACATGAGCTTCAGGGCAAATGAATAATAAATAAGTATTCAACTGTCTCCTTTTCACATACAGGAAGAAAGTAAATGTTTTTTTCTAGCAGAGAATACTTATCAATTAAATGATAACTGATTTATACTCAAGTATTAAATTAGATCATATTCGGTACTTCTGGTTTTCGAAAATGTTTGACACCCAAATAAACTGAAAATCCTATAAACAGGATCCCCAAAAGGCAGCTGAAAACCACGACTGGGATCAGTTTGCTGCGACTGGACACACCTGATAAAAAGATAAGGTTTATTAAGAGCTTGGCTAAAGAGAAGCAGGAAGTCACATTGTATGCCACCACGTATTCTTCCATACTCCTATATTTGCAAATGTAAATGACCCTTATCTTGGTCTTAAGCAAATCTGCCTCTATTCAAAACATGGTCAAACACAGAGGTGCTGCAAAACTAAAGTTCAAGTAGGATGTCCCATCTGTTACTATCTGCCCTATTCCTAATGTGAAAAGGACATTCTAATATCAAAATATGCATTAATTCTTAGGTTTGATGGCTCCAAAAAACTACTTTCTGCCACCTTTATTGGCCGTTTCTTCCTTACAGTGGCGGCTCCAGAGTATTTGTGTTGGGTAATCTATGGTAGGGCTAACCCATACAGTGGTGGTGCTCAAGTCAGTATTTGCAATGTAATTACATACACGCTATATCGCCCCCCTTGACAGTGAAACGCCACGCGTGAGGTTTCGATTATTTCCCTGTCTCAATCCAAATTGAACTGTATGAAATAAAAAGGCACATTTGTCTTGTAGCAAATAAAAAGGGCGACCTGGAGCCAATCCTGCAATTTCCCCACAGGTGAAAGAGTTGACATGCTGAAAACCCAACCCCTTTTTTGAAATACTAACATAAAATACACATTCTGGTATTCTCTTGAGAAGAAAAATAAATAAATCTATTACTATACGACATATTTAAAAAAATGAATGCCATTTTTGTTTTTTGATACTTTGTTCTGAAAGCTGAACCTGCTGCTCCTCACAGAGAGAAGAGGGAAGAGGCTGTGTGAATTACTTTACATTGAGGGGCTAAGCCATTTCTTGGTATGGCTGTAGCCTGCCCCAGCCATACCCTGGCGCCGCCACTGCACACACACACACACACACACACACACACACACACACACACACACACACACACACACACACACACACACACACACACACACACACACACACACACACACACACACACACACACACACTCGTTCTAAAAGATCTTTGAAGGAATCAACTGCAGAGCGTCAATTTTTTTGCATTAGTGTCACTTGTCCTATTAAATATGCGCCTTTTCTTATCTACAAGGAGCCCAATTAAGATGGTCCGGTAGGCACATTTAATTTTTATTTTGTTTAATATCAGAGGGGTAAGAAGTACTCAGAACTTGTACTTGAGTAAAAGTAGACAACAACAACACTGTGCACTATCTTCACCGAGTGTATGTGCATTTATTATTCAGACTTTACAAGACTAATGTCTGTGTGAATTTTTGTTAATGAGTACCGTTAACTTCAGCATTTTATTTTTCCTTTTGTCAGGTCTTGTCTTTTAACTGCAAACCATACCTGCTATGGATACAAATATAAACCTGAATCTGAAATCACTTTTAAAAACTTCTCATCATTTATTTTCTGTGATTTTTGGTTAGTTTTATTTTCTGTTAGTTTTAAATGTGTCCTGTTTGTGTGTGAAAGCTAAGGTGCTTTATAAGTAACGCTTTTTTATTATATTATTGTGACAGTTTTATTGAATCTACATTGTGTTCCTGTTTTATGAGCAGTATAGCCAATACAAAAATAAAACACCATCTGTGATGCTAGGATTTATGTTTTTACAGCACTTCCAAAAACTTTAACTTACAATATATAACTCAGATAGACAAGCCCTGCAACAAAAGGACAGCAAAACCAACAACCTCTCCTCTGTTATTGGCAATTATATTTGCCTTTTTCAAATTAAATGGCACCACACTATACAGACCTGTTTTGACCACATTAAATATGTTTTTATATCGCTTTAAATGTGATTGTGTGGTCTATTGTTGGAGAGGACAATGGGTGACATCAATAATGGCATTAACACCTAGAAGCTTTCTAATTTCTCTAATTCCCCTCCTCGACTCCTATCCTCGACTCCCCTCCTCGACTCCCCTCCTCGACTCCCCTCCTCGACTCCCATCCTCGACTCCTATCCTCGTGTCTTAGTCCCGCCCACAGGAGATGCGAGCGGAGGAGTCGAGGAGGGGAACCGAGGAGAGAGGAGGGGAAGCAGCAGGCGTTTACAGAAATGAGAAACCTTCCTTGTAACACCTGCGCCTCCAACCAGGAAGTATCTCAGTATCAGTTTAATGTTTATACAACCTAACAGGTTCCTCTTTATTTATTTTTTGCTAATGATTTACTCCTTTTACATTTTCTCACTATAATCTCCCACCATACCTGTTCAGCAGAACCTGTTTATGTAAAGCATCTGGACTGAGTGTTCATTTAAAAGCAGCTAGATTGAAAGTGAATTTACATTTTCTATACTGAGAGTTAGAAGGCAAGATGTGAATCTATAACCAGCCATGAAAGTGGTTTCAACCAAAAAAATTTACAGGAAATGATGTTTGGCATTGTTACGGCTGCTGTTTCTGTCTGCCCGTTAACCTGTCTGAGATTGTTTGCAGCTGTGTGTAATATGTAAATGAGCTGTGTGGTTGCCCCAATGTCGTTGGCTGTCATCTCCTGGTCCTCCTCCGAAGACGCTGATTGGAGCACGCCGGGCCCGACGCTCTCCAATCCCCGTGCAATCCCAGAGCACACCTTCCGGAGATTACTACAAAGCCTGGGGACAATTACGGTGCGTCTACACAGCAGCGTTAAAAAAATCTTGAAACGCTTCTGCCCCATTCACTTTGAATGGGGTGACGTCACTTTCCCTCACTTTTCGCCGAAATGCATTGTGGGCAGGCGAGCGGAGATTTTCAGGATTTTCAGCATTCAAAGTTGAACAATGTTCAACTTTTGAGGCTGAGGTGGAAGCGTCAGCCAATCAAATCCCGTGTACGCAAATCTGACAGTTCAAGCTCTAGCCAATCAAACGGCGTGTATGCTGGGAGAGACATACCGCAGGTCATTTCCTCATATTCCAAAAAATGGAGGAGAAATTAGCGGTAGCGAATCACCCGGTGCTTTATGACCAGACCTACCGGGATATAAACCGGAGGAGCCAGGCATGGAGGGAGGTGGCAGAGACAGTGGTATGTTTTCGCCTGTTTTGGGGAGTTTATATCCAGTTTACTTCGGGCTTTTTGGCTTCGTATTAGTGATGGGAATTCCGGCTCTTCTTGGTGAGCCGGATCATTTGGCTCGGCTCACCAAGAAGAGCCGGCTCTTTCGGCTCCCAAACGGCTCTTCAGTTTACCACATATTATACCTTTTATAATTCAATCAAATGTAGCCCTGTTTTGACTAATGATTTAAATTATTCAATACATCCTTTGTACTGAAGTATTCAAAAGTAAAAATTACATGTTTAATATCAATTATTTGCTGTGGCCAATTGTTTTCATTGCATTTACAGACCCTTGTATCTCTCTGATACCACCCAATGAATGCACAGACTTGTTTGTAGAACCACGCTACACAAAGCAGATAGCAACACAAAAACTTAAGCATAGACATTTAAAAAAAGGGGCTACTGTATCGACATTTTAAAATTATATTTAAAGAAAGGGCCCTGACAAAACAGCAGGGCTCTATTTCAGTATTAACTATAGAAAAAAAGACAGCAACAGCTGACATCAAATCTTTGCTGAGCCCAAGGATAATCATAAATAAATAACATAGTGAAAATAAATATATTGCAATGCTCAGTACAGCAGCATCCAACCGTCTCTAATCATAAAAAAACATAATAAAAATAAATGTATTGCAATGCTCAAAACAGCAGCATCCAACAGTCTCTAACCCTTGGATATTACATGTCACTGCATGCATGCACGGAGCAGCTGTAGCGCGGAGATCATCATATCATTCTGTCTTGTATTACTTAAAAAAAAAAAAAAAAAAAAAAAAAAACGGTTCGTTCGCGGGCGCGAGCCGGCTCCCGTCGTTCACTTAAAAGAGCCGGCTCTTTGAGCCGGCTCGTTCGCGACCGACACATCACTACTTCGTATGTCGCGGGCGGGAGATTCATGTGATTGGTTGTTCGCAAAAAATCCCCAAGCTTCAGATACGCCCACCTCCAAGATTTTTTTAACGCTGCTGTGTAGACGTACCGTTATCACTCGGTAGGCTCTGCTGCGATCAGACGCCTCACACATTTTGCTCCTGTGTCGTGGACACTTCAGTCTTGAGCTATAGACTGTGTTTGACTATTGTGATCCGTGTTTAGTGTTGTGTGTTTAGCGTGTTTATATGTGTGCTTAGAGTAGCGTGTTGATTTATGTGTTTAGAGTAGCGTGTGTTTAGTTTATCTAGTTAGCTGCGTTTTCCTGCAGCCTCCTTCCAATAAAGTTAATTGGAAGAGATATCAGGTGTGTTAATTAGGCTCATTTTCAAGAGTCCTCCTCCTGTTACCAGCAGTAGAACTGCGCCCTTTTGGCTTCTTTGTTTGGCTTAGGCTTATTTTGACCTCATTTTGTTGTGCACCCTTTGTTGTTGCTCATTAAATCCTATTATAATTACTTACCAAATCCATCTGGTGTATGTTATCTTACTCATCCCTAGTGGGTTCGTAACAGGCATCTTGACTTCTATATATTTTTTAATAAAATGCTCAACTAAGATGCTTGTAAAGATGTGAAAAGCTGAGGTTATTTCTAAAGACTGGTGGTATGTTTTTTTTCACCTTTATTCTGATCATGTAATAAATTCACTGGCTCTCTTAAACTTTCCATGTGCAGGTTTCGCCCCGTGTTTTTCTTTAATAATGAAATTTGCACTTCTTTGGATGCAAGGCAAGTTTATTTTGCATAGTTGTGTTCCAACAAATTCAAAATGCGAACGGAAAGCATGCAACATACATTCAAAATCACATTGAGGAGTAAAATAAAGGTAATTAAATCCTCTAATTAAGTCAAGTCCACTAACTGAAGGACTTTTAATTTGAAGGAAAGCACAGCGGCTCAGCATATAGTGGCACCAAATGTTTGAGGAGGGTATTGTCAACACCTGCTAGTTCTCACTCTGGTATTGGGATAGCACCTGGTAGTATGCAAGGACATTCTGGTAATAGTGAGAAATATATACTTGTGTCAGAGTCGGACACAGGATGGAGGAATTTGAAAGAGGAAGAGGAGGATTGATCATCGTCGGAGGCCTTGAAGTTTGAGCAGGGGCTGAAGGGGAAGGCGGACGATGAGTGGAGATGACGCGATAAGCCATTGAAGTCGGAGTACTTGTGGAGTTTGACTGAGAAACACTGGATATTGGAAGAGATGCATTGGTGGCTTGAACGGTACCTGTGCTCGTTTGATTTGGAGAAAAGCTGAATGTGGGATTTGAAAGAGTAACGTTGTCGCTGGAAGGAACAACAGTCGAACTGCTCTGAGGGGTTGGAGAAGTTAATGGCTCAGTAGATAGATAGATAGATAGATAGATAGATAGATGGATAGATAGATAGATAGATAGTTGGATAGATAAGTACTGTATTGATCCCAATTTGGGTAGATGATTGTTGGGTAGAGGTTAAGGCATGAACGGTGGTCGTGGTAGTAGCGATAGTAGTGGTTGGAACAAATGTAATGTCTCCGCCCCCTCCTCCTCCTCCTCCTTCTCCTCCTTGTGTTGTTGTAGTGGTAGTTGTTGTTGTTGTAGTTTTGGTGGTTGTTGTGGGGACTGTGGTTGTTGTTGTAGTTGTAGCAGTGGAAGTAGTTGTTGAAGCAGTTGTTTCTGTGGTTGTTGTAGGGACTTTGGTCAACAGATGTTGTGGTAGGAGGGAGAGTGGCTGTAGGAGGAGTTTCTGTCGTTGTAGGTATAGTGGTGCTCAAGATGGTAACAGCAGTAGTTGAGTAGGGACTGGTTGTCAAAGCAGTGGAGCTAGTTGTTGTGGTTGTAGGGGCAGATGTTGTACTGAGAGGCGTAGATGTGGTAGAATATGGTCTAGATGTAGTGGTGATAGGCATAGATGTGGTAGAAAGAGGGGCAGACAGAGTTGGGTGTAAAGTAACAAAGTAACGCGTTACTGTAATAATATTACTTTTGTCGGTAACAGAGTAGTGTAACGTGTTACTTTTATAATTCAGTAATCACACTACAGTTACTAACATTGCCCCGACACGCGTTACTTCGTTACTTTTATAAAATCAGTCATAATCACACTGACAGACAAGAGGGGTTTCCGCCGCAGGTTTATATGTACGTAATCTGCGCGACTTGCGCGTCCACATCTCCACGTGCAGTGCTGCATAAACATGGCTGAGTCAGCGATAACTTTCGAGGGGTGGAGGTATGCCCATTATTTTGAGTTCGTCCGAAGAATAGACAGGAATGTGACGGTGAGGTGCAAACTGTGTCCAGGCCAGAAGCTGTTATCCACTGCTGCAAACACCACGTCAAACCTCAACAAACACCTGCAAAGAACACATGCTAAGGTGAAGCTAATAGCTAAGGACCCCCGAACCCAGAGTGAGGATGTTGTGAGTGCGCCGCCGCCGACCGAAGCAGCACAAATTAGAATTTGGAGGACCGGTAACCAAAGCAGAGATGGACAGGCTTGTAGCATCCTTCATAGTAGAGGTAATGTTGCCCATTTGCACAGTGGAATCACCATCGCATCGTTCAGAGATATACTGCGCAAAATACAGATAGCAGGAGACAGAGGACAGCCATAGTCAGAGCTATCTGACTATCTGACTTGTTATGCGACAATGGAAACTGAACTAAAGAGAACATTTGAAACTTTAGCAGTCTGCGTGATCTGCCTGTAGGGAGGGGCGGGCCGGCCCTGCGAGTAAAGTAACGAGTAAAGTAACGAGTTACTTTATGTAGAGAGTAACGAAGTAGTGTAATATATTACTTTTTTTTAAGTAATATGTAATATGTAATATATTACTTTTTTTTAGTAACGACCCCATCTCTGGGGGCAGATGTGGTAGTAAGATCGGCAGATGTGGTATAAAGAGTGCCAGATGTTGTAGAAAGAGTTCCAGATGTTGTAGAAAGAGTTCCAGATGTGCTAGAAAGTGGGTCAGATGTTGTACTGTAAAGGTCAGATGTGGTAGTGAATCGGGCAGATGTCGTAGAAAGTGGAACAGATGAAGAACTCAGTGGGCCAGATGTAGTAGTTAGATCAGCAAATGTTGTGCTGTAAGGATCAGAGGTGCTAGAAAGTAGGCCAGATGAGGTATTAAGAGGTCCAGATGCGGTACTAGGGGCCGTAGATTTGGAGCGGCAGAAGTAGTCAGAATGGGTGGTGGGCATTGGCATTGTTTGTTTCCAGCATTTAGTTTTGGGTAAAACTCAGTGACAGTTGTGTGGAGAGGACATTGTGATTCCAGGAAACACTTCAAATGCTGAGCTCACTGTGCTCAGTTCACTATGGAGCTCTGCCAAGGTCTTGATCTGCAGATATTTGTCTGTTTTATTAATGTTTGGGCCCCAGTGGGCACTTGCTAGCCACCTGTTTTCACTGTGACTGTAGCAGCAGAACGCAGACCAGAGCATGGACGGGACATTAACCTTGTTTGAAATGATGTTGTTGCCTGGCTGGGCTCCAATGACCAAAAATCCTTCTTTGATTTTGTTGTTATTGATGCAATATTCGTCCAGAACACATTTGATGCAGATCTCCATTTTGTTCCAGCTTCCCTTGTTGAAAAAACCATTCTGTGGAACAATGTTGGTGAGGGTGAAGGTAGACTTCTTATCATCTGCTGTAGAGGCGTAAGAGCATGGAAATAAATGCCCTCTGTCGAACCCTCGCTTGGTGTAGTGGTTGGTGTAGTCAGAATTCCCAGCCTGCTTATTGTAGGTCTTTCCTTTGCCATCCTTCCTCATGTTCTCATTGCCATGAATGTCCTCAAGCTGTAACCATTAAAAGGCAAAGTTACTGAGGGCAGGGTGGTTGAGTTGAGGATTGGTTCCTCAAAGCAGTGTTTAAGTTTCTTGGCCTAACAATGTTATAGTATAGTTGTGAATGATTAGATAGTACAACAAAAGCATACCTGGGGTTCTATTTTCCAAATGTTCTTAGGTCTTGTGCTGTTTGTTCCGATGTACTTGGAAGCAGAAAACACTGGGATCTTGTTTTTCGTGTCGTAGAGCGTCACATAACGTTTAATGCCGTGGAAAGTCTGGCAAATGGGTTTGTATCTGTTCTGGTCCAGGATGTTCCCTCCCTCTAGGATTCCTGGGACATTCGGTGGAGTTTCGTTAAGGAGAAACTCTGCACATTCTGACATTGAATCCACCACTTTGGATCCAGTGGGAACGATGGATAGGAGGAGGAGAGCAGCGAGGGGCGGGATGCTCCACATCTTCAGTAATGCCATCGCCAAACACTAGGGTCAAAAGACAGAACAAAACGAACGATGAAACATTACATGACTGTCGAAGTGGACTGCTGAAATTCTACTTCTTAAAGAGGCCCTTTCATGCTTTTTAGGGGTTTCTCCTTCCTGTAGATTCAAGATTCAAGGCTTTATTGTCATGTGCACATTAGCCAAAGTGTAGATATGGCAATGAAAAACGTAGGTCACAGGGTCCTCCAACAGTGCAACATGAATATATATATATATATATATATATATATATGACATAGAACAATTAAAACAGAGCATGTTTTTTGATGTGCAAGTAAATAGAAATAGAAATAGTGCAAGAAGAGTCTATATACAAGTAAATGGAATATGATATATTAGATAAATAATTTGCAAGATGCAAACAGATTAATGTTTATGGATGTTCTTATAAAGGTGTTTGTGCTTATAAATGGTCTCTCAGTTCACAGTCTAATATTCCCAATGGTTACTGATGAAAGACGCAGTGGTTTCCACCTGTTGGGCCAATCTGTTGATTCAGGGGCACATCCTATAAGTAAGCTTTATTACTTGTGAAACAAACAATCTAGCTGTGGTCAGGGCCGGTTTTTGGCAAAAGCGACATAGGCGGTCGCCTAGGGCGCCAGATCTGGGAGGGCGCTTCGCCAGTAGTTCTGGGAGGGAAAAAAACATTTTTGACCGTTGGTGCTCATCCTAATTTGCGGCCTTGATGTAACAACATTAAAGGTAGGGTAGGTAAGTTTGAGAAACCGGCTCGAGATAAACTTTTTGTTATATTCCATGGAATGCTCTTAACATCCCGATAGCAATGAATATCTTAAGTGCTTTGACAAAAAATCCATAAAAAAATGTCATCTGTGGAAGCCGTAATACTGTAAAAAGCACGACCAATCATTTTAGCCGGCCCGGCTAAAATAACTGGATGGCCTACCTGCCTGTCAGCCTTCCATCTGTGCACAAACTTATCTCGTGCCCTCATTGGTCATGTGCGCGTTCGTGTGTGTTGGAGGAGGGGCTCTGAAAGGAAGTGGCAGATTTTCTCCGGTTGTGTATTTTCAAATTCTAGCGATCTCGAGCCGATTTCTCAAACTTACCTACCCTACCTTTAACTAGGTAAAATAAGATATGAATGAACAACAAAAATAAAATACGTTACATTCATTTGTTGGCTATGGTAGGTTATTGGTTATGTTCACATACTTATTTGGTTATTAAAATGTAAACCGATCTTTTTCATATGGGTGTTTAGAGTTGTACCCCCTAGATCTAGTCTCTAGTAATTCTGCTCAAAGTGCACCAGATTGAAGCATTTTATTTAAAAATGTTAAAAATATCTTTCCGGGGGGGCAGACCCCTGGACCCCCCTAGAGCAGGGGTGCCCAATACGTCGATCGCGAAGATAGTGTGGGTAGATCGCATTGCATTGAAAAAAAAAAAATGAAAAAAATATATATACCGTAATTTTCGGACTATAAGCCGCGACTTTTTTCCCATTTTTCGACCCTGCGGCTTATATAACGGTGCGGCTAATCTATGGATTTTTACAGCTCCGACGACTTGCTCTGAAAACACGGAGGAGCAAAACAACAAACCAGTGAAACAAAGCGTATATTAAAGCCCGGGAAATATACCCGTTTTGACGCTGTTTCAGGAGCGCCTCTAACATTGTTTTGAAGGCCTGTTGCTAGCGGGGGATGCTAGAGGGGGATGCTAGCGGGGGATCCTCGGGCTAGCCCTGTAGACACCGGGCCGAGAGAGCGCAAGGGACCGGGACAGGAGCTCCGCGGGATAACGACCAGGTTTGACTGACCCTGCCAGTCCTATCTTATAACACAAAGAAGACGTAACCTCTCCTAAGTTTGAAAGTTGAAAAGTTTGTGTGTCTGAAACGCTATGTGATACAGTACAGTTTACACAGCACAGTACATGTTCTGTAGCTACTATTGCACTAAATGGTAACACTTGAATACGTTATGCAAATATGCAACTTGTTTGTTGAAATGTTAATAAATGGGAGCTTCCTCAAACAGCCATCTCTTTCCCGACAATCCCCTCTGTGCACGAACCCTTAGATATGGTAATTAAACATTAAAACACCTGCGGCTTATAGTCCAGTGCGGCTTATATATGTACACATCATTCAATTTAGCTGCTGCGGCTTATATTCAGGTGCGCTTTATAGTGCGAAAATTACGGTACATATATATATATTTTATTTTTTATTTTTCATTTTTTTAAAGTTAGCCTATCATCCATCCTTACTATGGCATTTGCCACTTGATTGACGTACAGGTAAGCCAGTCTGAGTTGCATTGTGCCATACGGGTTCATGCAGTTATGAACCCATCTGAAGCGCAAATGCCACAGTTTATCCGCCGTTTAGTCCACTAGCACCCCCCCCCTCCGCTCGCGACACAGATTGGGCAGGGCCCTGTAGGTAGATCTTATGGGCTTGGTCATTTTAAAAGTAGCTCCCAAGCTGAAAAAGTGTGGGCACCCCTGCCCTAAGAGGATGTGACGTCCACCCCCGAATTAGAACATGTTCATACGTTTCAGTTTTTGTAGTGTTTTGGTCTTTTGTAGAGATATTTCATTTATTCTTTATATATTCTATTGTGTATTGCTTGGAGGGGGAGGGGCACCAAATCATAATCTCGCCTAGGGCACCAAAATGTCTAGAACCGGCCCTGGCTGTGGTCGGTAAAATAAAGCACTTTTGAGCATTAAAACATGTCACAGTAGAAGCACAAAATAATCAAATGTACCTGAAGATTAGCATAATATGTCCTCTTTAAGATAATCAACGATGTGCTACGTAGAAGATACAAACCAAACATTAATAATAAATGAATCAGCTCTGAAAGGTGAGCTTTAAAGAAATACAGAAGTATGACTTCAAGTGGTCAAGTTTAAGGGTAAGAGGAACAGTCAACTGGGACATTTTTATGAAAGAGAAATGAAAGTAAATGCTCAGAATTTAGATCCAGTTTTGATTCTGAGAATTGTTTTCAAGACAATTCCCAGTGGGGATAATCTAAAGCAGGAAAACAATTATATCAAGTATTGAAAATAGCATCTGGTAATCAAAACTAAGCAACTACTTCTTTACCTTAAACTTAAATACAAATGTTCAAAACAATATAAAACAAACCTTGCCTCATATTGGCATTTTCTATTTAAATATATATAAGTACATAAATAGAATAATAAAACAAAGCATAAAAAGGGATTTTAAAAAAAAGGAAATTCTTACCCGACGCTGGATTCATGGGATTAAGCGCGATTGGTCCTTCTGTTCACACAGCAGTAGAAACAAGACTGTTCCTCAAATGTGAACTGAGTGTAAGGAAGAAGTCTGATTTATGTTTCTGCTGTACATGAAAGTGGGTGGACTCTTAGATGTAATCTGAATCTTTCCTTTTTGTATTCAGGAAATGACGGCCCAAAACACCTCCTTTAGGAAAAACGTGATGTAGTTTAAAAAAGAGATGCAATTATAAAAACACAAATGTGCAAAAACATGAAGAAACATCTTCAGCAACTTGACAAAACGCTGCAATTATGAAACACTGCAAATAAAAAATGCTGCAAGAAGCTCAAAACACAACGGAAACCAGGAGACACTAAAAAGTGACCGGAGCGTTTGTTGACGTTCGTGGATAATAAAGTTGTCCAACTGTCACTGTTGTCGGTGAATAAACTGAAATGTTTTATTTGCTTATTTGAACAATCTGATCACATGATTCCTTCTGATATTTCTGCAGATCTGCTGTTAGCTAGCTAGCTAACCTAGTAATTAAAAATAATACTAACCAAACAGTTACAGACTAACTCTTCCAGCAGTGACAGTAAGCCAACTTTATGATGGAAGTGTTTTGGGCTGCAGTAGCGCGTTTGCACCAGTCGGCCACCATATGATACGGAGGTTGGGAGCTTCATATACACACATTTAAACTGACATTAAGGGCACTTTTTAAGATAATCAAAGACGTGCTACTTGACAAAAACACAGAGATTAAAGCATTTGGGGTGTTTGCATGATATGCATGATTGCTGGATATATCATAAAACAGATTAATCAGCTTTAAAAGGTTTGTTTGAAAGAAATATAGAAGGAAGGGTCCACAGTTCTGAAGAACATGTACTAAGTTATTACAATACATGTCAAACTCTTTTCCTTTTGGTCATTACAGCTTAGTTATAAGTATATACTGTATTTTTGCATTTATGTTTGCACATATATCGCACTCATGATTGGGGTTTGACGTGATGAAAAACGAATCTCCAAATTTAGTTTAAAGACACTGATTCACTAAAACCAAAAGCAGTTAAATAACTATGCATCATGTTGGGAGGATTTTTATTTATTCTTTAGCGAGAGTCAAATATAACTCTGAATATGTGAAATCCAGCTTTCACAAAAACCTCAAGCTGACCAGTTCTTAAGGACTCTTAATACTTCTCAGAAAAACCCATGGAAAGGGGAAGATTGCACCGGGTCACATGTAAGGTTAACTTGCGTGCGTGCGTGCGTGCGTGCGTGCGTGCGTGCGGTCGATAACTAAACCTGTCTTCTCAAAATTAGACTTTTATATAGTAAGCATGTTGTTTTCCTAATATCATTATATTGGGAAATGTTAATGCAGTTTGATTTTCCAACACCTTAATGAGTGCCTTGTTTAAGATTTTATAGGCTTTAATTATTTCCAATTCTGGTTTTTAAATGAGAGTTTGAAGTCTGGTCTCATGGTTTGGATGAAAGTGCCCACTAGGTGTCATGAGATACTAACCTATGATGGTTGAATTTCTGTTGAAGTTGAAAAACACGTCAGATTTTTGCCAATACTAGGTTTCATAAACGTGCTAATATATAGATTTTTCTACTTTTATATTTCTTGGTTTTGCATTACCTTTTATTATTTTTATTTCTAGTAACACATCAAAATTCAATTTATATGAAAAACGTACTTGGCTATAAATCTTGATTCTGATTTTAACATAAGTGTACACATCTTAAATGGAAGCTATATACATTTTATATTGCATTGTATGTTGCAAGGATCCCAAGATTAATTAAACCATTTTATGCCATAGCTGTTTTAAAATGTTGTGTTGTCTTATTGTGCCCCCTGGTGCCCAAATTTGAAATAAGTCTTGAGGGAAGTGTGTGCTTAGAAAGTCATTTTCATATAAGTTATTTAGTGTCTTTTATCTGCTAATAGCAGGAAGTCATTGTTCTGCACGTATGTACCAAGTCAAAGACAGGCAAGTCTCAAATCCTAAAGTGTTTTGAACGTTTTTCAGATTTTTGACTGCGTTTTCCAGCTGATTCAAAACACATTAAGCATTAAGCACATACATGAACACATCATCCTTAGATACATGGAGATTCATGGTTTTAAATACCTGAAAACAATCAAAATACAGAACTTATTTTGGTGAAAATTATCATTTTATTGTGTACTTGCACTCACTGTTTTTATTATCCAGGGGACATCTTGCCATTTGCTTACAACCCTCTACTTTATGCATCCAAGAATATCATTTAGTACCTCACTAATTCAAGATTTTGAAATAAACAAACAACATTAAACAAGACAATACAGCTAATTCTTTACAACACATACACACCCCTCATCAGCTTTTGGCTATGTGGTAAAGCAATCAGAAATATTAAATAGTCTGAATAGAAGATTGAATTCATGATCACGATCTATCAATAAATAAACGAGACATATTTGTCTTGTCCCGACGTATTGCACTACCCAAAGTCTATTTACAGAGTTCCCTTTTTTTTAGTCTATGAAGGTACATAAGTACAAACATTGGCATTTAAAGGAAATGCATCTTGTTTTTAACAATGCTAAAAGGATGGTTTACTTCAACCCATTACAGAGGATGATAAGCAGGCAGCTGAGATGCAGGATGGTTTAATAAATACACACAAAGTCTGAAGCAAACAACCGGTTAATGAAAGTAAATACATTTGAACAATTCATGAGACATAGACATTTTCTCACAGCATTCAAAGACAGGTGGAGGTGAAAGGACATCTAAAATAAATGTACATCTGAATGAATGAACAAGCAGAATAATAAAGCAGAATAAAAAAGCAATATCATGATTCTTCCAGAAGGGGGTGCTCTTTATCTTTAGCTGAACGTACTACATGATGTTATCTGTAATAAAATGCACAGAGAGGTAATTGAGTAACCCTAACCCATAAATGACTCCTGTGAACAGAGCACTTTGTAAACATCTGTAATGCCAAAACCCACCAATACAAAGTAACTAACTACATTTACCCAAGTACACATTTACCAATAACAGTGTTTTAATTAACCCTTGTGTTGTGTTCGAAAGCTGTTACCGTTCATGGTGTTCGCGGGTCAATTTTGACCCATGATTTATCTCAGTCCAAAACACTCATAAATAATGACTATCATCCAATATTGTTTTAACTACATCATAACTAACTTGTTATGAATTCATAACCGTACAATCCTGTTGTAATTTAATGTTATGGCCCAAAACACATTACACCACATATTGCACACGTGCATGTGTGTGTTCAGGTTCAAGCAGTGGCGGCCGGTGGTCTTTTTTTTTGGTGGGGCTCTTGACGTACCGTAAGTGACCTACCCGGGGGGTCCGGGGGGTTTCCCCCCGAAATTTTTTTTCGAGAAATGACCCCTTAAATGATGACTTCTGGTGATGTTAGAGGGGGGGGGAAAGGAGAAATCGAGGCTTAAAAATATGAGAAGACTGATCAATACCTCCATAATCTTCAGTGTGGAAAATATTATTTATCAACCTGAACATCTACTACTTTACCAGGAATTTGTGTTCTCAGAACTGGTCTGTTTTTTTCTTTCTTAAAACTGTTCATGTTTTATGAACCAACACCTTCACCAAGTAGCTTTACAGTGAACTGCATGTGAGATATAAAATTAATAGCATCTTTTCAGTAGCATTAATTATAAATATTTAAGTGGTTCAATACAAGTCACTACAGCATTTCAAACTGAACTGTGAATAAATGCAATTTAAAAAAAATAACCACAGCACAAAATGTCATAAATTGTGTTTTTTCTTTGTTTCTCTGAGGATTATTTACAAACAGGCTTATTTACATATAGCAATAACTCAGAAATGAAAAAGCTACATCGTCTAACACGAACAACCAGTTAGCATAATGATAATATATGTGTTATGTACAATGTAACTGGCAAGGCTAGAGCAAGAAAGAACATAAAGTTTGCAAAAGGTTTAAATAACTTCAAGTATCTGTCTTCAGATTACGTGGAGGTTTTAGTCCGATGGGAAGCAGATTTTAAGCGACACCGAAGATAAACCAAAAATGTGGTGGAGCTGCAAACCGTGTAGTGTTGCTGGGACAGAACAGGAGCTATAACCGTTGGAAAATACATCACAGACAATGCAACAAACGTGGAGACAGAACAATCACTTCTGTGATAAATGCCCACTTATTAATAAACTTCTAACAACCATGGGAAACCTCCTCTCTACATATAAAGTGATATCCAAGCATGGGAAACAAAAGACAGCATTTACCTGTTTGCATCCAGCTAGCCAAGCCTTTCTTGTGTACCAGCTACTTGTGAAGCCTCGTGTATAAATGTTGTCTTTTTCACGAGATTGCTGCGATATATTCAAATCGGGTTGGTCCGGTGCAAGGTCTTTAAGCAACAATTTATCTGCCAAACTTCTCCTTTCGAAAGGATTGGAGATTAGCTCTTGAACAGAATTAGCCGGGGACCGAGGTCCGGAGACTCCACCTGCACACGAAGCCATCCTCATCAACTACTGCGTCAACCGGATACGAGTCACTGTCCAAACTACTCACAGACTGCACTGGGCGCTGACATTGGCGCCCGGTGACCGTCATCTTTGACAACGCTGATTGGCTGAAATTATATTTTCGCGGCATAGTTTACACGTTACAGATAGCAACAGTCAGCTGCTGGTGGCTGCTGCTGCACTGGTTGAAGGCTCCTCTCTTAGCGCCCAGACGAGAGAAGGTGCATGGGCAAGGCCAGGCAGGAAACATGTGACTTATCAGTAACTTTAGACATCGTAACACAATTTTAAACGAGATTTTATTGTAGATTATACATTTTACTGATACCAATTATATAATATTTACCTTGTTCATTAAAAATAAAAATAAAAACATATATATTTTTTTAAACATTTTTTTTTTTTTTAATTTTAATTTTAATTATTATTATTTTTTTTTTTTTTCAATATGGGAAGAGGTGGGGCGGCCCCTAGCGCCCCTATGGACCGGCCGCCACTGGGTTCAAGTGTTAGTGTACA